GATTAAGAACACTTCCTTTAGGTATTACATGGAGCGAAGATGAAAACAAAATGCCATCGAATCGTTTCTGAAGACAGTCAGAACCTTCAGAGGTACATTCATATAATTAATTAATTAATATATTCATTTGTATAATTCCCTTAGCACTCTTTTAAAACCTCCCAGCTTTTCCACCCTGTTTTCACTCAAAACGAAACTACTCTGCATGCTGTGCGCACGTGAGACTGTTACTGAAAACTGTGCTTTATGCTGGACAGTATTTACCGTATTTATCGCGAGTTGTTCAAATCGCGGTAATCTAATACGGTTTTAATGATAATTAAAAGATGAAACGGTAACACTAACCATGGGGAATTTTATCATGATTTATCGTCAAACCGGTAATCGTTACATCCCTAAAGTGTAGACTTAAATAGTATGCTATAATTGACACTTCACATCGGCAGCCGTAATAGTAATCTCAATTAAAAATTATGCAGTCCTAATGTATCCTACTGCATGTTTTCCTTTTGTTTTGTGCTCATCTCGCATTAATAATTAAATAAAAGTATAGATCATCATGCAGCTTAGTAAGTCTAATTCACACCCAGCATGAGCATTACAATGGAAGACATCATGAGGCAATGTTATAATGAACTATCATCATGCTAATTGCAAAATGCTTTAAAAAGTAATTAATTAAGCAGCATGCAAACAATCTGACAACTTGTCAGTTACCCAACACTGGGTCACTGTGCGAGCTGCACCAGGCAAAATTCTATCATAACACGACTAACTGTGGCATTCCTTTCAAAACGGTTCCTCATACACAGACGCCAAAGGACAGCACAGAAGGACGAAGAATAAAAAATAAAAAAATAAAAAAAAGCACGCTCACAAACCAGCCAGTCAACCCTCATATGTACAGACAGGGGAGCAAAAAAAAAAAAGAAAGGAACACCACCTGTCCATCAGGAAAGCCACCAGCTTTCCTTCCTCCCCCTCCTTTCTCGGTATCTCTGAGCCCAATGACGGCCAGAGATACTCCTTATCAGCTGGTGAGATGAGATTTAGTTCCAGGCCTAACACTCATAGGAGGCTATTGATAATGCTGGTCCCCCCTTCTGCTCTCCTCTCATTCTCCTGAAGTGGGACCTGCCTCGCCTGGCAAAATCCAAACCGCAACCATGACAGCAACTGCAAAACTGATTTCGAATCAGTGCAACGGGGTGACATACCGTGTTCCAGCTATGGATGAACAAGATGAGCCATGCAAAACCCAGATGTGCATTCTGGCAGTGGGCATCCCCTTAGTAAAATCCCTTTTTCCCTACTGCTACCTGGAAGGAAAGCTAGGTCAAGCTCCTGGTGATGGGTGGTGATGTTGTTTCGACATCCTTGCTACTGCATAGCTGAATGAATAATCGATGGTGCTTGAAAACAGAATGCATTTGATTTTTTTTTCTTATTATTACAGCACGGTTTTAAAAATGCTCATGAAACGTTTATGGTTTATAGGTACAAAGCTGGAAATGGCACAGACCGGCTAACATGTTCAAAGCAGTGTTTTCCATTACTGACCCATATCCCCATGGCTAGGAATCATTTAATGGTCTTCATGCACAGAGCAAAACCATCTGCATCTTTGTGTCCACATTTTTATAGCCTCATAAATGGTTGCATACAACTGTCGAACTTACCTATTATGCTGACAGACAGCAACTATTATGTGATATTGATTGCTCAGGCCTTTCAATAACAGCAGTCCTGTCGATTTGATCAACCTAAGAACTGGAGTTTGTCTAGAGGGTGTCTCATAAGTCTGAATATAGCCTACATTTATCAAGGCTCAATTTGACTGAATCACCTAAGCAGTTACTACGCAAGGGACTCGTATGCAATTAGTGGTGTTAATCATATACTAATAATAAACAGTGAATTTAATTACATCCATGATGTATTGTCATCCACAGCTAGTGCTACTGGATTTTCACACACCAGAGCCCAGAAAGATTTATCTGACACCAGCTCACAATCAAGTTATGCTCAGTTCTTCAGCCCTGGCTGCCCTGCCACAGAACAGTTGGTGATAGAGCTAATAGAGGGTTGCAACATGGCAACGGCAGAAAAAGACAACAGATGTTCAAGAGGGCGATACAAAAAGGATTAAAACATAGTGTTTTGGTGGCTTCATTCTTTAGATGTGCTGACTAGGGTTGCAAAGAGGTGGAAAATTTCCAGGAAATTTTGGAAATATTCCAGAAATTTTGGAAACTTTCCAGGATTTTTTTGAATATTCCAGGGATTTTTGGAAAGTTTCCCGGAAAATTTCCCGGAAATGTTCCATCCCTTTGCAACCCTAGTAGTGCTGCTGACATCCATTAAAGCTGACCAATGAATAGGAGGCTACCAGTGCAGGTAAATTTGATTGTCATATACTCACTCTCATGTTCAAAAGCTTTACAGATTTCTTGCAGTGTAACACAATTGGAAACATGTCAAAGAAGACAAAAAAGATGCAATAAATAAATAAATCTGTCAATCAATCACAATATAAGTATCATAAGCAACATTTTACAATAAGATTGCATTTGTTAACATGAACTAACAATGAAAAATACTTGTAAAACATTTATTAGTCTTAGGTTATAATGTTAATTTTAACATATGTTATTGCTAATATATTAATAAAGTCAAAAGTTGCATCTTAATATTTAATGGACCTGGTCTAACATGAACTAACAATGAACAGTTGTATTTATATTAACTACTATTAACAAAAAATAATAAATGGTGTAACAAATGTATAGCTCATTGTTAGTTAATGCATTAAGTAATGTTACCTAATAGAACACTATTTTTACAATTAGTTAATGCATGTTACTGTAAAATAGTCAAGTCTACATTTCAAGTCTTCTGGAGTAGGATTGCTTGTGTGAGGAACAGACCAAAATTTAACTAGAAATGTATGAAATATTTACCACATAATGTGCTTTTTAGATAAGCAGCATTCTCCAATGATTTGTGAACAAATAATTTGTTTGAGTCTGATCTTCTAGATTAATCTGTTGATCCAGTTCACAAAACTAGCCTGAATGATGTGTTCACAAACCAGACTGATCTGCTACTCGTGTTCAACTGGGGAGGATTATCACTAAAAACAACTGAAATTGAAGTGAAGCACTTGCAGAAGTCATGATTCTTGTGATTTTCATGATAATTTTTGGTCATTTCAAGCCATTTGTTAAGCTTAATATCTTCAGTCACGATGCACTGTCATCACATGGACAAAAGTGACCAGGAAATCACTAAATATGCCTTCCACACAAGGAAGAAAATCGTTTGGGTTTGGAACAACATGAGAGTAAATAATGACATCATATACATCCGAGTTGCCTGCGAACTATTTGAATGCGACTTACACCATAAAAATATTATGTGATGAACTGGACTCCCTGAACTCGTAAATGACGATGCATAAAAGAGGCTGAATCTTCTCAAAACATTATGTCCAGAAACACTCTCACGGGCCTCGGCTGTCAATTCAAGTCATCCAAACAATTTATTCAGACCATATGTTTACATGTAGCCAGTTCTTGGTTAAGTTGGTTAAAAGGTCAGAAGGACATACCCTCTGAAAATTCGTTCAACGAAAGCAAACATTTTATCAACAACCCATTCGAAGGATAAAACAGCCGCTTATCTAAACAAAAGGATGATTTATTCCCACGGCTTTTCCATTTCTCTCTCTCTCTCTCTCTCTCTCTCTCGTGCATCTAAGAGCCGCACATGGCATGACTCGAAAGGGGGCAAATCAATACACACAGCGCCCGTTAGTAACGCTACGCTGGCACGCAGGTGTTCAAACCATTACCAATGAGGGACATATATAAAGCCACACTTCCGAGGGCTTTACAGTAACACACAGAACAGACAACATCTTCGCTTATGAGTCAACACCATCCGTTTACTTCCCCAGCCCCGCGCATCACCTGCATTCCTGAAAACACATATTCTGATGACAAAAGCATCTGCAGACACACAGAAGTGCTCTTCTTACCTGTGTTTGTGGCTGAAAGTGAGCGCGCTTTATCCCCACTTCTCACTGTAAATTGTTCGTTTGTCTTTTATATAGTCCAGAGAGGCGAAATGCTGCGTTTGCCCTCCCCTTTCACTGCCGTACAGTCGACGGCCGCGTGAGCGCGTCAAGCCGCTCAACCTGCATGAAACGCCACAGCAGATCTACCGCTATATGCGCGTTCTCCCGGTAACGTAGCGGTTATAGGCGCGAAATGAGGGCGCGGTCAGTGGAACACCTCACCAATCATCCCGCGCGAGCACTTCGCCTTCCAGCCTCACCGACGACATGATGACTGCGGCACCGTTGTCTCAATGTGACTTACTTTATCAAAATCTGGACCAACGACTATGTCCAGTAACTGCGTCTGATCAATCCCCCTACTGTCCCTTAATCCGTTTAAACCAGGGGTTCCCAACCTTTACGGTCTGCCGAAACACTAAAATATATGCTTTAAACACTCTCTGGAATTAAAAACAGGTTTCTTATCGCGCAATAAATATTATGAATAATAAAATCAAAGCCTTAAGTTTTTGTATTCATTCATTCATTTTATTTATTTATTTATTTATTTATTTATTTTTACGGTATCGGTTTAATATTACATTCCATTTAAACACTTTTATTACACGGCTATGGAATAGGCCACTGATTGGTCAATCTGAGGTCTTAAGTCAAATATTTATTCAAAACAATTATTGTAGTTCATGGCAATACAAATAGCCTATTGATTGATTGATGTACCTTTTGCGTCAGGTGTGTATGTTTGCAATAGCTACGGGCTGAATGAACATCACATAATTTGTTTTGTCGATGTATCACAGTCTCACAAAACCCCTGCAGTCACATCAGGAACCACTAGGGCGTTTAGAGCTTTACAAATTCCTGCACTTTCTTACTACTCGGAATACTTGATTTTGATTGTCTCTTCTTTACAAGTAAGATAAATTAATTTCAGCTCAAGTCAATATTTCATGTGTATATTATTATTATAATTATTATCCATAGCTGTGTGATTTTTTTTGCGATAATGACTGAATGTAGGCTACATTACATAACTTTTCAATGTATCATAATTAACCTGCAGTTATGAACATTATAACCTAGGGCGTGTAGGGATTTTTGTAAAGATTGTTACATATTTCTGTACTTTCATAATGTACTGAATTCAGTAAAGGACTTGCTTCTCGACAGTTGATGAAGTACTTTCTTTAGGCATGCAGGCGTGTAGTATAAATACCTTCCTGGACATACAACATCTGCCTTTTGGTATTGTTCTATGACCTGTATGATCTTTGACCTATGAGGCAGTACTAACAACAACCACAAATGTACTCTGGTGTATTTTTGTTTTGTTTTGTTTTTTAATGTGCGAGTACGTGTGTGTGCGTGTGTGTGTGTGTGTGTTCTGTTCCAAATTCTAGTGAGCCTATACTGCACGCACAGGCAGCTGCCTTCTATAGCAGCATCCTAACTGAAATGAAACTACATGATTTAATTAGAAATGTTGAAAGAATAATAATTATAATAGATGCCAATAGATTATTATATATATTATATAGTAATTAAAATAGCATTTTTGTAATTAATAAATTTTCAGTTTTTTATTAATTAAAAATGTTAGGTGTGGAAAAAAGTGTGTGTGTGTGTGTGTGTGTGTGTGTGTGTGTGTGTGTGTGTGTTTAAAAAAATCTAACCAGGAATATCATTCATGCTAGCACTTCCTCTTGAAATGAGCCACCTGGTTTCAAATCTTATGGATCCTCAGCTCTCATGGCCTCATGGGACAGCAAAATGTCCATTGTTTACACACTTCAGTATCTCAGCGAATACAGTAGGTCATCTGAGTTTTGTTTGCATGCTATTTATTGGGTACGATGTATTCAGGCATCCTACTCGATTGACATACTGCTTTTTGCATACTATTCAGTATAGAAGAACACGTATGTGGACACTGAGTTAAATTTAAGGTAAGGTAAATTTAAGGTAACCCATAGCACAGTTGTGAGTAATTGACTGACGTTAGCTTTAGCAGTGTTTAATTGAGGACCAGTGTTCATTTCTGTTGTCATTAAATATTGTAAGTATGTATGTGTCACTAGGGAAAATAAATGTTCTGGGGCTTAAGTGAGACACTGAGCACAGATTGTTTATCATATCATTTTACCACAGAATTTAATTACAAAAAGGTAAAACGTATAATGATCTTTGCTTCAAAGGAATTTTTAAATGCCAACGCGTATGGATTCATGCACTTGATTATACATTAGCTAATGCTGTGGGCTGTTTTATAAGTTAAACATTTCCAGTGTTTTCTTTTTTGCTGTTATTTCGTCCTAAAGTTATATTAGGCATGTATCATCTTTAAATGCATTAATGTTTAACAGATGACTTTACATTTGCAAGCTTTGTGTAATGAGCCAAATACTCAAACAACAGCTAGTATCATTAATGGTATCTGTGGTAATTCCCCCATGTATTACCCTCAGCACAAAGCCTGGACCTCAGTTGTCTGTTCAGCCAAGATTTTAATAAACATGCTTCACTGCTTTTTAATTTTGAAAAAACAAAAACAAACAAACAAAAACAAAAAAACCTTTTGTCTGTTGAATCAAAGTCATGTGGTGTGACCAACATGCAGAAAAAAACATAAAACAGGAAATTATCATAGAAGGAAATTATCATAGACAGGACTGTGTGTCAAGGTCAGTAAATTTGACCATTTTATGGCAAGGTGAAGTTATGTAGTGTGACTCCCCAAAAATGTACCGACATTTATGCTTAATGATAATTAAAATAATAAAAATGCTTGTAAGATAATAAAAATTGTAAAAATAAAAAAACGAATTAATAAATAAAAAAGAAAAATACTTGAAAAAAATACTTTTTTTATTTATTAATTAATATTTTAATTTTTTAAATTGTATTATCTTACAAGCATTTTTATTATTTTCATTATTATTAATCATAAATGTCTGTACATTTTTGGGCAGTCACATACATAACTTGTTACAACCTTGAATTAAATTCAGTTAATAAAATAACTATATAATAACAATGATAATTGTTGTAAAATATTGAAAATGCTAAAAATGATTGTAAAATAATAAAAATGTAAGCATTAAAAAATAAAATAAGGTAAAATACCTGAATATAAAATAGTAAAAAAATTATAATAAAGCAATAATAAGATGTAGTGTGACTCCCCAAAAATGTACTGACAATTATGAATTAATAATAATTACATAAAAATAATTAAAGTGATAATTTTTGTAAAATAATGAAAATTGTTAGATAGATGTTCTATGTTGGTATCTGAACAGTTGATGGGCAACATTGACTTCCATAGTATTTTTTTTTTCCTACTATGGAAGTCAATGGTGCCCATCAACTGTTCGGATACTAACATTTTTCAAAATATCTTCTTTTGAGTTCAACAGAAGAAAGAAACTCATACAGGTTTGGAACAAGTGGAGGGTGAGTAAATAATGACAGAATTTTCATTCTAGAAGTGAACTACTCCTTTAAACAGGCCTTTACAAAGCACAAAAAGTGAATGCTTTTCATTTGACATTCCTGTCTCATTTTTGAAAATGCCTGTGAGCTCTTGAGCATTCCAACAAGTGCCTTAAAATTACTAAGGAGGGGGCACTCTATCTTACAACAGCAGACGGAAACCCAACCTCTCCAAACTGTTCCTTGGCATTGGCCACTGTGCAAACAGCACCTTACCCACTTAGGAAAAGTGTGTAGACTGGCGTCGTTCCCTGACTGACCTGCCTCATCTGTATTGAGCTGTGGCATCATTGAATGATTTGTAATTATTATTATTGTAGAAGTTTCCTTTACTCCCGCATAAAGCCGTTTCTTGCATTCTTTCGCTTCTCGCGCACTACTTTGAACTTGGAGTGCCATTATGCATGAGAGGCTCCATCAAAGGAAAACATGCAAATGGTTGAGGATTTTGTGGATATGGTTAAGCAGAGCATGCGAGTGTGTGTGCATGTGTGTGTGTGTGTGTGTGTGTGTGTGTGTGTGTGTGTGTGTGTTTTCTGAGGCTGGCGAAGCTAATGATAGCCTGTTGTGGAGTGTGTCAGAACAGTCGCATTGTCACCATAACTTGTGTTAAACGATCGCAGGGGTTTAAAACCTGGAACGTGTGGACATGGAGACCTTGAAGCCTCTTCGAGCCCAGAGAGCACTGCTGCATGGGAGACATATTAATGCAGAGTGACAAGGACATGAGACATGAGACATAGACTATCTGTCTCACTCTCTCCCCCTATCTGTTTCTCTCCATAATGTGTGGTTTCAGGAATAGCCACACTAACAGAAGGACGGCATGATGGGGACCTTGGAATATAATCATGTCATTACTGTGTGAGTGAAGTATGAAATAGTAGGAGAGCGGGTGACTATTGACTGGCCTGAGATGGCGATTGCTTTAGGGGGGTGACTGATCACGTAAGCATCACCGTATACAGGCTTTCTGCCTCTTTGTCCCTATTGTGCCCTCTTTATTTTTAACAAAAGCGTTCTCTTTTTCTTGTACACACACACACTTCGTCTTTCTGAGTTGCATCTCTCAGACACATGTAAGGCACAACACAGATTTTGAAAAGCAGCCAATTGTCTTTGTGCAGTCACAAGCGTTTCCCCAGGGCTGGCTATGAATTAACTTAACACAACTGGGAGATTAAAACACATAAGAGCCTGCATTTAACCACTTCTGTCCTCCGAGCGGAGCAGGATGCCAGAGAACAGGCTCTTGTGCTGAGTTTAGATTTGGGTCATCAGCTCGGTGTGGTCTTATCTAAATGCACCGCGGCGATAGTGCGGCAGAAGAGCTCGGGGCCTTCCGACTCATTATTCAGCAGTTCATATCAGTTTATTAGTGCCCGTGTAATTATGCCGCAAAATCGCGCCTCTTAGTGCGGTAAATACTTATAAATAAATCATAGCCCATCTGTCATCTTAACTGGATGTCAATTAGGCAAGAATGCAGTAGCACATTTTTCATTATGTGGATTTACAGTAACAAGATCAGTTGTTTATGTTTCAGGTGGCACTGTGTTTTATGACAACGTTCTAATCACATGATGGGTTGTGAAAAATTCACAGCTAAAGAATTAGCTCCGTTTTAAATCATGAATGTGAATTTGAATTAAATTGGCCTCAGACCACAGGAAGCTGTGAATTTGAACTGGAATGACAGGAATATGAATTAAATGAATTGTATTTCAATAAAATTGAACACAAGTAAAGCAATCTGGGCAATGAAGCGTTGTCTGT